TTGGGTTCTTTTAGATTGAAAAGCCAAGTTAGAGGGCGATGGTCAGTTACTATCGTGAATTTACGGCCAAATAGATAAGGACGGAAATATTTGCAAGCCCATACTATTGCCAATAATTCCTTTTCTATTGTGCTGTAGCGTTGCTCTGTTTCATTAAGAGTACGACTAGCGTACGCAATCGGTTTGTCTTGTCCTATGGTCCCTTGCGATAAAATTGCGCCAAGTGCTATGTTTGAAGCGTCAGTAGTCAGTATAAAGTCTCGTTCAAAGTTCGGGAATTGGAGAATGGGATCGTTACAGAGGATTTTCTTACAATTTTCGAAACTTTCAATGAAATTTTGGCTATGAATAACTTTTGCATTCTTCTTAAGGCACAGAGTCATGGGTTTAGTAATTTTCGCAAAGTCTTGAATGAAACGACGGTAGTAACCTAATAAACCTAAGAATGATTTGATTTCTTTTTGTGTTCTAGGAATTGGGAATCTCTGGACTGCCGAAATTTTGTCTGGATTGGGCTTAACGCCTTCAGGGGTTATTATATGGCCTAAAAATGAAACTGATTTTTGTAAGAATTCTGATTTGTCCATCTGAATTTTAAAATTCGAGTTTCTAAGTCTGTCGAATACTTTGTTCAGTCTGGATACGTGCTCTTGTAGTGATGTACTGAAAATTATTATGTCGTCGAGGTATACTAAGCAAATGTCATTATTAAGTCCACGTAAAACATTGTCTATAACTCGTTGGAATGTTGAGGGGGCATTTTTCAATCCGAATGGCATACGTTTGAATTCGTAGTGTCCATTGGGGGTGGAAAAAGCTGTCTTTGGTATGTCATGTTTGTTCATTTCAATCTGGTGGTAGCCAGAAGCTAAGTCCAGTGTTGTAAAGTAATTTGCCCTACCAAGTCTGTCGAGTATGTCATTAATGTTAGGTAGAGGGTATTTATCGTCAACTGTCTTGTCATTTAATTTCCGATAGTCTATAACTATGCGCCATTTCTGTTTGCCTGAGTGATCTAATTTTTTAGGAACTATCCATATGGGACTGCTCCAAGGTGAGGTTGACGGTTGAATGATACCTTGTTCCAACATTTTGGCCATTTGAGATTCAACTTCTCTTTTGTGAACTTCAGGGAATCTGTACGATTTAGTAAACACAGGTGTTTCGTCTTTAAGTTTGATTTCATGAGTAATTTCGTTCGAAAAGCTAAGAGGAATTTCTTCGCAATGGAATATATCTCGATACTTATAACAAAGCTCACTAATCATTTTTTTCTCTTCACTATTGCAATGATTCAACCTGAGATTTTTCAAGTTGGATTTCAAGAGGGAATCCTGTTCATTACTCAAGTTATTACTATAGTCGATTTTTTCAATGAAATTTATTTCGTTAGGGTCTAAAAGTTCTATATCAAATGGTTGGGTGATGTTAATCTTGAATGTTGTTGAATTTGGGTTTATTATTGTTGTGATTGCGAAAAAATTACGAATATTGACTACGGCTGTTGGTGATTGTACTTTGTTTCCGAAATCGATGAAATCTAGTAAACCTAATCCATTTTCGTAACAAACTGGGATTTTGAAAACTTGTTGGGTCATTGGCGGAACTATTAAGGTATGATAGCATTTATTAAAATGTTTAGAAGGCTCAGAAGTGTTTTCATCGAAAATCATAGGGATTTGAACATTTGGTATGGTTAGAATTTTATTCTGAATATCGATGTTTGCATTCAATTGTTTAAGAAGATCCATACCTATAAGTCCTTCATACTTTTCGTTGAAGTCGAAAACATGGAACTTGTGTATCTCTTGTGTGTGAAAAATTCCAAAAATTGGAATGATCAATACTTCGTTATGGAAACTCACGTCATGTGACGTTTGAATACTAAAAGTTTCATTCGTTATGTAATTTGGATAAAATTGGTAGGCTAATTTTGGACTGATCAAACTTCGAGAACTACCGGTATCGATTAAGAATTTTGCTTGAATTTCTGGTATAAAAATAAATGGTAAGTCATTTTTCAAGTGGTTGAGTTTAATAACTATGTTGGATGATTTTTGGGAACATCCTGTGAAAAATTTAAATCTTCATCATATGAGATTTCTTTTTGAGGTGTGTCTAGCTGATCGAAATCTTGATATACATTTGGCTGTTCAAAATATTGATCAGTTTGTTCACATTCCTGATTTCTTGGGTCATAAGGTTCAGAGTAATCGTTAGGGTAATCATATTGTGATTCTTCTATGTTATGGAGTTCTTCCGACACAAAATTTCTAGGACCCGTGCTTTGGAAATAATTTTGTCTATTAAAATTTTGTCTTTGATGTTGAACTGTCGGGTTTCTAGTAGAAACCGACATTGGTTCTGGTCTGGTATTAGGTGTCTGTCCCGTGGGTTTAAATGCATTACGGGGTGGACCAAATACTTGTCGATTTGTGAAATAATTTTGTTGACCTAAATTTTGTCTTGGTTGGATATTTATTGGTTGAGATGGAAATTGATTTCTTGGTGGATTATTCGGATTTTGATTGAAATGTTGATTAGAAAAATTTGGCCTTTGAAAGTTAGAGTTTTGGAAATTTGGTCTCGAAAAATTTGGGTTTGGATTAAAAGTTCGATTTTGGTACGAATTTTGGGGTCTAGAAAAATTCACATTATGATTAGGTTGATTAGGTTGTTTCTGAGGAAATGATGGAATTTGTCTCTGATTTAGAATAAAATTTTCCTCTTCTAAAACGTGTGAGATTGCTAACTCTAAGCTGTCAGGGTTTCTCAGTCTAACCATATCTTGAATTCTGCCAGTTAAACCACGAATGAATGTTTTAAGAGCAAGCTCGTCATAGTTTCTCATTTTGAAAGCTCTTTCGTCTGCAGGTAAATTCATTGAAATCAATTTTGATGCAATAGCACTTCGACTTTTTTGAATTCTCTGACCGAAAGTAAAGAATGATTCGTTTCTATGAGGTCTCATAATAATCATTTCTTGAACGAGACAATCTAAATTTCTTTGATCACCAAAACTAAGCCTGAGTAGATTTTTCAAAGCATTCCAATCTCTTATTTCTGGCCTACTACCAACTAAACTCAACGCATTTCCTGATAATTTTCCTATTACAGCCCTGATAAGAAAATCATTGATAGGATCGTTAAGATTGTCATTATTTTTATAAGTTCTTACAAGATAGTCACAATGTTCTAGAAATATTTCCAAGGTACTTTCATCACTACCATTGAAATTTGGTATTGTATCGATGTATAGTCTAAGTAATTGATAATTGACTGCCATTTCGTTTCTATCTATTCCTAAATTATTCAATCTTTCTATTATTTCCTCAATTTTTAAATCTTATGTACTCACTACTTTGAAAATCGATATAAAATTATTCTAATCTGATTATACTTCTGCCTAACTATGTTCTGAAAATATTATATGCTCTAATTCTTTCTAGAACGCAATTGTATTCATCAATTCACTCCTATACTAAATTTTGTTGTGTTCACCAACAACTAGAAAAACATATGCACTGTTCTACTAGGGATTTCGACTTATTTGCCACAGAAAATAATAAACATGGGAAAAGGAATGAAAAGGATGGCTCACCTTTGAATGGTACCGTCTGTCTTCTTCCTGGACCCTGGGTGTTGATTTCTGAAGTCTGCACCGATTTTTCTGTTCGATTTTCACACCGAATTGTACGATTTTCGCCCGTGAAGAGTAAAACTCAAAACGAATACACGATGAGACGTCCCGGGCGTATCCTACCGACTGCGCCAGTTATTTTCGAAAAACCGGCAAAAGACTTTTTAAAAAACGTTTATTATGTTATCTGGACAAGGTATACGGTCAAAATCGTCGGAAAAATGAATTACACATGTATTTATAATGTCGGTTGATCTTGAGAGACGAAATATGAATCTGCTGATCTCGCTGCTTTCCGGGAAACGGCCTGGGAAGTGTTGTACCTAGCTCGGTACCGTGGGACCGCTCGATGTAACTAGCATTTATGACCGCTATCTGGTGCGAACCTGACCCAACGTATACGCATCCCAGTATTTATTACCCAAGAGGCGTATGGTAAGGTAAGGTAGGAATTTGTGTTCTTCTTAAATTTCTGGAGGTTATATGCCTCGGGAAACACCTCCCTTGACTATGTGTTCCAGAGCCTTGCTGTTCGTTGGATAAACGAGTCTTTGGAAAGAGATGTTCTGCAGGTCTCCAAAGTGACAACGAAGGGGTGCGAAGCGATAAGAATTTGAAAACAAAATCTTCTGAAGTAGAGAATTTGCATTCTCCTTCATGTAAAGATATGCACATAATATAATTCTGAATATTCAACAGAAAACAACTACATTCCTTGATATTTGCCACGTCGAACGTTGAATTATCTGTTGAACATCCAAGAAGAGAGCATAAAAAATGAAAATCCTCTAAAATTGAGATTTGGCATCATCTCTCAAATCGGATAAAATAATAACTCTGATCTTGATGAGCTTGGAACTTCCAAAAAAATCATTCGTTTCAGTGATATGGAAATTATATCTCTCACAAACAGGTTATATGACTTCACTCGAATAAATTCATTTCGGATATCAAATCCTCATCAGTAACCTGAAGTCCAGTTACTGTTTCAGCCATTCTTCATGATATACACAATTTTCATCTCCCTATAATAAAACTAAAACTATAATGAACTGACATCTGAGAATTATGATTTGTTGACATACTCCTGTCATCTGGGAATTTGTACAGGACGTAGAAAGGAAATAAAATAGATTGCGGATGGATGTAATTCAATGTTCTGTGTGGCAATAGCCAGGAAAGTAGTTATTTTTCTCTCGTTATCTACCAATTTCGTTCATTTATGAACATTTGTGAAAATTACTTTGAGCTTCGCATATTCATTCAACACTTCATTCCACTTTGAGCATTTAGGCTTTTTGTCAGTTGTAGTAGTAGTTGTTGTTAACGACCAACGTTGACCTTGTGTTTCTTCTCTTAGAATTCGGTAGTGGAGTCTGTGTGCAGCACCAGCGAGGGGGAGGGGCACGCGTCGGCTGGCGAATCGCTGCGCTCCGAGCTGTCGTGGGTGGCGGTAGACGAGGGCTCGGCAGAGTGCCAGCGGACGCTATGGGTGCCCGATCACGCGGTCAACAGGTGCACCGGCTGCAGCACGGAGTTCTGGCTGGGCAGGCGGCGCCACCATTGCAGGTGAGAGGGGAGGTTTTAGTTGCACCAGCACGAATTCAAATCGCCATGACTTTCAGTGTGGATGCATTTTTAAATGAATCAGAACTATCCTAACCATGGAGGTGAATTCAAGCTTGTATCCCAATTCTCCCAAAAATTTACTCTAAAAATGAAGGTTACAGGTTATAGTTCGGTAACCATATTGCCCTGTACAGTCTGTATAATATTTCTTTGCGCGTACGTCACAACTTCAAAAACTAATCAAATCAATTCAAGGTCATATGTTTTAGTGAAGCATTGCCGTACTGTTTCAAAAATTGGGTTAAAATAAATAATAATATTCCGAAAATTTTTATTCACTTGGTAATTTTCAATAAAACATAGGGTTGGTATATATTTCAAGTTTCAACTCTTTAATTCGTCAATTTATTGAAGGCAAAAACATGTTTATTCGTATGGGTTGGTATATGACCCGATATACACACCTATTTAATGATTTTGTGAGGTATTCTGTGATCGTGGCAAAGCTGAGCACTGTTGAGTCGTTAAAAGTATTTGGTATATATTACTATGCAGCATTTTCCACAACACCACCACTATGGCCAGCATAAAGTACAATAAATCGTTTCCCATCATAACCTTCTGGTTTACGAACGCTTTTTGTACTTTGATCTTGCCATGATCTCATCTTATTCCCTTTCGCAAATATCCAAGTTTCATCTAAGAAGACGATTTTTCTAGGGTAACTAGAATTGCGATGTTCATAAAACTTTCTGAAAAACTCTGCTCTCATCATAGATATGTCCCCTTCTCAACCAATAACCGTCTGTTGTCTTCTTTTTTAAATTTGAATCCTACATTTGTGAGAAGTTTGCTCAATGTGCCTATACTTGCATCACGAATATATTTAGTTCTGAGTTTTTCTTTCAAAATTCTAAGTGATGGGTTTTTAGTCAGTTGAAGGTAGTCCAGAAGTTTCAAATGAAATCACTTAATTTCTGCATACATAGTATAGATCACATTGTGTACTTCCATTTTCAAATCATCATCCAGATCCACTGTCTTTGGTTTTTTTTAGTCCTAGATTTCCCTGGCGTACTCAAACTTTCATTTCTCTCAGAACGTACTTTAATACTCGAAACTGTCCGCAGATTAATATTGTGGGTATCAGCGACACGCTAAAATTATGTACATCATGATGATATTCTTGAAGTAAGATCTGACTATTTTTATTATTGTGAAATATTGTAAAAAATTCGATACAAGACTTCGTGCTTGCGAAACATCTTCCTGGCATGTTGAATATTTGACAATGGCTACGAAAAACGATGTCATTTCAGCACCTACTGCACGCCTCTGAATTATCTGATTCAAATGTGTCTCGACATATGAACACCTCTGTATTCAAGCTTTTAACGCGTTGAGTTCAGAAACCATGTCGTAACTTATGTCAACAAACTTCACGATAGACATTGCTGCTCTATATGCAAGTCTGAGGAGGATAGCAAGTTGCGCGTAGTTCATGCTAATTTCAGTCACACGCGAAGAAATATTATACAGATTGTATCCTTGATTATTTACACTAACAAGATGATCCACCTGCATGTAGAATGTTGAAGTCAAATTTGGCCTTAGTTCAGTAAAATATGGCCGATTCGTCAACTCTCGGTATATGCTCGATTCCATCTATCTGCGACTTGCAATATCCTTCTCTCTGAAGCAAGAAAATCACTAACTGATATTCTGAAGGCTTAAAAAAATATTTTTTATTAAACAAAGAAAAAAAGTTGTAGATTTTAGCTCGAGGTTGTGTTGTCTTCCGACGCATAGCTGAGGGAGACAAAACACCACTGTATTTTTCTGTGGCAGGAAAAATATCTATCTGTCTGATTCTGTTATTTGATTTTAATAAATTGCGGACTTAGTGATTGTTTAGTAATTTCCGTAATCGCGAAGTTGAATAGAAGATATATGAAAGGACTCGCAGCTCTTTCTCGGAGACGCTGTTATTGGCTTATTTTTTGGAACTAGCACAACAAATGCCATTTTCCTATTCCCATACTACCAAATATTTCAAAAATAATGGAAAAAACAATGAATAACATACTGCATGATTATTTAGAGGCAACAGAATATCTTAATAACCATCAATATGGCTTTCGCAATTCTTGTGACCCAGTGTCAGCTGTCTTGGATGTTGTGACAGGATTTCAAATGCAACTAGGTGCCAATGAGATGTGTGGACTTCTGTCATCTTCTGATCTTCGCAAGGCATTTGATTCTCCTCAATTTGTTATACCAACTTGGCATAAGAGGTGAAGTTCATAAATGGTTTCGAATTTATTTGAGTGGTAGAAAACAATTTGTTTATTAAGGAACAGTTTCGAGTACAGCTAATGAAATCATATGTGGAGTACCACAAGGGTTAATCTTAGGCAATATTTTATTTTTGGTATACATATGTCAACTCGATTATTAAAATCGAATTGAAAGGAAAAGTTTACATGTTCGCTGATGACACTACATTGATTTATTCCGCAGACTGAATCCAACAAATCAGAAATGCAATTGCAAGTGACTTGATTGTTTTATCTTAATGGTTGTCCTATAATAAATTGAGTATAATTTCCAGCAAATCAGCATTCATGTATATCTCTAAACGAAGCCTCTCAAGTGAACTGAAATTTGATATCAAATTTAAAAAGCAAATCATCGAATATTACACAGCCATCAAATTCGGTGGGATATTCCTTGATGAACATTTGTCATGGTCCAAACATTGAATCGATCAGAAAGAAAATATCTCCAGTAATCGGAGTACTCTACAGAATCATATACCAAATCACTTTGAAATACTCAAAATGTATATATTTTTCCTTGGTTTATCCTACTAAATAGAATTCCTGGCCTCATTGCTCTCATAAGGATGATTCATATTAGTAGTGTAAATAATCAAGGCTAAAACTATAGAATAGAATGATAATGAATATATTTGTGAAAATGTTCACTCCCATGGAAATGGTTGGAGGAATATTTTTCGTGGATAGTGGGGATGAAAAAGAAAATATTATTCCTCCTATGGTTGCGGAATAATGAAACTTCCTGTATAGCTAACGGATGGACCTCTTTTTCGTGGAGACTTTGTATAAAACGTACATCAATATTAATAGTTATCGAGAAATAACTGAAAGTTGATTTGAAATTAGCATTATCATACATGAATAGTTTTAGATGAAAATATCTATCCATGAATTCACTAAGTTATAATCTATTCCTTTAACGATGACAATTCAAGAACATTATTTTTTTCTCAGATCAGAAAGTGAAGTTTTCGCAAAAAAATGTCAGCCAAAATTCGATATGCTCCAGTCGAAGTAGCCGATTTAGTTTGAAAATTACAGCAAAAGTATGTATTTCACATCGAGTGTGTTTGTTTTGTTACAGCTTTGAATGCTTGGAAAAAAATAATTGATATCTGCTATTATTTTTTACAATTTCTCTCTTTCAAATAGGAGAAAAATCCAAAGGAGTCAAATCTCAAGAACGTGTTGGAAAAGACAAATTAACTACTCCACTGGAATATGAACCTCACTTTTCAGTTTTTCTTTGTTATCATTGCGCTCTCTCACCTCACCCCGCGCAGCCATGAAGCTCGTTAATGTCGTAACTCTGTTAAGAGGTGGCAAAAATGTTAACGATTTTTTATAGAAACCCCAATTTCGTGTTGTATTATTATTATTATTTTTAAAAATTGAGAAAAAAATATCACCTGTCCGTTTTACGCGTTTGTGAAATCTCTAGGGCCATCACCTGTGATTCGCTTCATTGCAGGAGATGTGGCAGAATCTTCTGCGCCGACTGCTCCGAGAACAGCACGCCCCTTCCCTCGGAGGACCACTACAATCCGGTGAGGGTGTGCACCAACTGTTATTCGGAGATGCAGCACGACTGCGTCGTAATTCCTAACCAATGCAAGCACACTAACAACCAACCGTCGACGGCCAATACCCAGATCGCAGCTTCAAGTAACTAAATTATTATTGTTCATTGAGAGTTATTCAGGGAGGATGCTCGAATTGTTCTAGTTATCTGATCATTACGTCACGGGGAGTGGGAACGAAAATTCTGGATGAAAGTAATGTACACAGCCTGTTTCAAGTTTTTTATATGGAATACCCAAGGTTTAACCAGAACTGATGATTACCCAATTGTTATTCGGAGATGTAGCACGACTGCGTCGAAATTCCCAACCAGTGCAAGCACACTGAAGGCGGCTGCACAATTTCCCGGGAACGAGAACGTGAACAAGAACTGAAGATGCACACATAACGAGAACGGAAACGGTAGGGATTTTCGACATTTTTTGAGAATTTTTTTTTTTAGACTGTCAGCTTGACTTTTCTCACTCATTACGTGTTGATAACAAACTTCCGTGTTATAATAGTTTTTATAATGGATGGTATTTTAGTGATGAGATGTTGGAGTTAGTATATGTATCCAATATCTGTGCTGTGATTGCAACTTTCTAGTTCACGTTCCCGGGCATCTTCTCATTCTTGATCCCGGGAGCTTGTTGTGCATGGGTGCATTGAAATATGTGTAGCTTAATTTTTTTTTCGTTCTTTTTCCTGCTCTCGTTCCCGGACAATTTTGCAGCCGCCATAACAACCAACCGTCCACCGCCAATACCATGATCGCAGCTTCAAGTAACTGAATTATTATTATTCTTTGAGAGTTATTCGGGGAGGATGATCGATTCGTTCTAGTAATCTGATCATTATGTCACGGGAAGTGGGAACGAAAATTTTGGATGAAAGTAATGTACACAACCCGTTCCAAGCTGGGTCTTATAGAAAGTTATTTTTTATGTAATACCCAAGGTTTTACCGGAGCTGATGATTACACTACTGGACAACATTTTTTACCCATAAATGGAATGGACAGTACCTATAGTTTTACGTTAGATAGTGAAGTGAGAAAAAAATACCTCAATTTTATATGATATGATTATTTTATTCTTTTACACTGATTTCTATCAACTTTTGTTCAGCAATAATCGGCTAACACATTTTTATCCCTATAATCTCATAAGACTGTAAGTCTTGATGGAAACGTTTATCATGTTCATTTACCCAGGTTTTCAAGAAAAAAAAACAGAGCTAGTGAGTGTGAAAATATCTTCGACGACTCCAATAGGCTAGCGTTCTGATTTTTTACTATTCCATGAAAGCAAAGAATAGATAAAGATAAAGTAATGTTCTGAACAATCGATAAAGGATCGAATGGCTCACTTTTGTTGAAAGGATTACAAGAAATGGTAGCAAACTTTCTGAAGAACTGAATTCTTCCACTAAGACTATTCTTCATAAAGTCTTCATTTTCAATTGCAGAAGCAGAATTAATAAATAAAGCTTTGCAGTCTTGACGCGGTATCCTATGAGCAGCATTGTGTAATCTCATTCTCCCATGGCCGAGAAAATGCCATATTTTTCGATAAAACACAACAGAACCAGACGCCAATAGCTTCCAATTTATTCAGACCCATTTTTAACTAGTTTTCTATGAGTATTCTACTTAAAGCTCGCTCATTGGCTTGAGCCTGCTTGCACTCCGTCATCTGCTTCAGATGTTGACAGCTGTTAGTCAGTCCACGTGGACTATCGGTAATCTTTTGTGGTGATGGAGAAATTATTTTTCGTTTCATTATTCCGCATATACGCACCTGTTGGCGGGGTTTTTGATTTGCTCCTCATAATAGTTGCTTTTGCAATTGAAAATGGATAGACTACCATTTTGCATAATATATATCTCAGATGTCAGTGCTACAGGACGTGTCATCGTTCGAATCGTCACCAAACCAGACTGTCGACCTCTCGAAAAAAAATCTCATTTTGTTCTCCAACGAAATCTGGAACGAAGGATCTCCCATCATCGAATCCATGTCGAAAAAAGTGGACAGGATGATGAAAGAAAATGCGGCGTACGCGAATTCTCCATCAGAACGTCCTACGAGAAACATGAGGAATACATAATGTTGGTCGATTTATCGATTTTTCTATAATATTCATATTGCATATTTTTTGTTTATTACGTATTGTTGAATATAGATTCGTCAACTAAACATCAAAAATTAGCTTCTAAATTTCTTGTGGTTACATTAAAAAAACTTGATGTGTGTGTTGAATATTTTCTGTAATCGAGGGTAGTCAGAAGACGAATTCGATGTGATTATATATACAGGGTGGGCCACCAGTAACGCCTCGGTCTCTAGAAGGCTAACCACTTATCTTCTTGGAATTCTTCCTCTCTAGGAAGTTGCATGTCAACATAGGCTACCATTTGAAATTATTTTGAAACATACAGGATGTCCCCAAAAATCACAAAACACTGAAGTTGAACTTTTTTCTATCGAACACCCTATATATTATTTCATTTTGAGATTCTCCCTAATGAGCTGATTTCAATGACTTATCATACTTGGGGTCTAGCAGTTATAATTACTGAAATATAGGGTGTGAAAAATCGAGATTTTCCAAGTTCAAGAATTTTTTGTGTCGAAACTATTCATAATTGGTCAAAAATTGGTCAAAACGGCTTACATGTCCCTATATCAACTTTTGATCAACTATCAACTGATATTTAATTGGGACATATACCGGGTGATCAAGATTCTGAATTCTGCACCACCCTGTATTTGTTTCAATTAAATGTCGGTAGATAGTTGATCAAAAGTTGAGATAGGGACATGTAAACCGTTTTGACCAATTATGAATGGTTTAGACACAAAAAATTCTTGAACTTGGAAAATCTCGATTTCTCACACCCTATATCTCAGTAATTATAACTGCTAGACCCCAAGTATGATGGGTCGTTGAAATCAGCTCATCAGGGAGAATCTCAAAATGGAATAATATATAGGGTGTTCGGTTGAAAAAAGTTCAACTTCAGTGTTTTGTGATTTTTGGGGACATCCTGTATGTTTCAAAATAATTTCAAATGGTAGCCTATGTTGACATGCAACTTCCTAGAGAGGAAGAATTCCACGAAGATAAGTGGTTAGCCTTCTAGAGACCGAGGCGTTACTGGTGGCCCACCCTGTATATCTGTGGGTAACAGAAGCAGAATTATGTTTTAAAGTAGTGTTACTGTCAAAGGAGGTTGCCTCGATCAGAAAACCCGGTGGGGGCAAGTAGGTAGTCATGAGGTCCTTTCAACGAAAATTTCATTTTGGAGTTATGGGACACTGTATTATACAACTGTCTTCAGGAAAATTTACTAATTCAGTCGTGATCTACAATACTTATAGATGCCTAAATTTCTATAAACCCAACATGAACCTGTGTATGTGATTACCACCTCTACTCAGTTTTCCAGACAACCTTCCTCTTCAAATAATCATCAGTTCAACCAACCTTGGGAATACCACGTAATTATCATGCATTTCGGTCTCAAGTCACATTCTTAATGTGATATTGAAAATTAGAGAGTCACAAATCGGAAACCTTTCAAATTGTCAGATATTCTCAAGTATCAAAACTTCTTGTGATCGTTGACATGGTTAATGCTTGATTGTTTTAACTCATTTCCTTTTCAGAACAGTTGAATGAACTAGTTCGGAGTTTTTTCAGAAGAAAAACGATCGAATGAATCTTTTGGTTGATTAATACTTATCGTCTCTTCTCTCCCTGTTGATTTTTAAAACAGCCATTTTAAAGAATACTTGAGGAAATTACCTCAAGTAAACAGGACTTTTGGCTCAATGGGGGGATTATTTGATTTAGGCAGATTGTGCTGTGGGCCATAACAACTCGAAAATTACAAATGGAAAGAGGTACTGTGTTCCTCTATTCAATCATTAATACTGTTTTGAATTGCCGCTGGATATTTTCTAGAAAGAGAACTATAAAAAATCATATTGTCATTGGAGTTATATTGCTCATATTTTAGAACTTTCTGCTCGTACATAAAGTGATGTTAATTGAATAGAAGAAGATAATTCTCCCTTCATTTGTTTAGGTAATTTGAAATAAGTGAAATATAATTAGGAATATGGCCGGTTAGTTCTGCCTACCTGCTTCCATCTTCCAAAAGGAGATGCCAGTGGAATCGGAACTGATGAAAAATGAAATGAATTTTGATCAAATTGTTCAAAATGCACTAAATTTCACAGTAGTCGTAAGTAAAAAAAAACAAAAAACAAAATGAAACAGGAATGATATTATCTTCACTGAGAATCCTTATTTTGAAGCTTCAGTATTAGTTGAATAATTAGAATGAATTCGAGTATCTGATCTATCAATTATTTATTGTATTGTTATGTAAAATATATTTTTTACTCTGGATCGGGCAAGTCGATCTTTTTAAAATTTGTAGAAAAAACTGACAAGTAGATCGTCTATTGAAATTGCTGTTATGTCTCAGAGTATATTGCTATAAATACATTTGTCAACAGTTATAGGGATATTGCAAGATAGTAAAAATAAATAAACATATTTTAAAATTTATAGTATATAAAATTGCAGTTTTTTTGTTTTTGTAGATATCCAGACTGTCGTTCAATGGAAGTGAATAACATGATAATGAAATGCTGATAACTCTAAAATATTACCAAATGTTTGAAAACAAGCTATTGAAGTTGAGAACTTATCTAACCCACAATTGTTTTCAGTTCATTAGCTTGATGTGGTCGATACCTGATAATTGGAAATATCATAAGAAATCAACTTGAATGGATCATCAAACTTATTATTAACAAGATAAGCAAGTTTTTTTTCTTCAAAGAAGTAAATAAGATCGTCATGAAGATGGTTATATCAAAATGTCATTGCAAAAATTCGCATGGTGAATTACAATCGGAAATATTTTGTCTGACTGATTACGTAACTCCTATCATATAATATTGCCTACCATCGTTTTAAGTTTATTAACTTGATGTGGTCTATACCTACACTACACTGTTTTACCACTAACCAAACCGATTTTTTTTTTAACGCCTCGACACGTGTTTCGCTAACTATGTTAGCATCTTCAGGA